AGGGAGCTGCAACAGCAGCAAAAGCAGTTTTGACCACAAATTGGTTTAACGCTTAGGTGGCAAAACCAACCGCCACCGCACATCGTGCATAAATTACAAATTAAATGACGGCCAAACAGTGCCAACCCCGAAAACAAACAAAAACCGCAGCAATTAGGCGAAGGTCAAAGGTCCGAATGGGAGATACTCGGTAATTATCAAGTCCTTAAACCATGAGAGTTACAAATAATGCAAAAATATTGTGGGAAATGTAATCTTTATTTGGAATAGCTTTTAATGTAATTTCCTTTAACAGATATTTTATTTGTACTGCTCTTAGGATATCAACTGTTTCGAAACCAGAACCTAAATAAACTCCAGTTAACTCGCTAATGTAACTGCTGCTTTTAACTATAATAAGTTCAGCGCAACATTAGTTCCAAAAGCTGTTAATGTCCGGGCAATTGCAGCCAAATTGGCGGCGAGGAGCAAACACACACTGAACGAAAACAAAACAGGAGTGACACACAATTTGCATTAGACTGCCGACTGGTAATGTCGACCAGAGTGCGTGGTGGCGACCACATCGACATTAGCAAGTTGCAGTTGTTATTTGGCAATGGGGATTGCCACTTTTCCTCCCCCTCCCCCTCCCCCTTAGAAAAGCGAGTGCTGATCCAACGCTTTTTCCACATCACAACCCTTGGGTCCCCTGGTTCTGGTCTGTTGATTTGCTACCACAAAACGGGGCCGACAGGTGGGAGGGCTGTGAAAAAGGATTTCAATTCAACGCTGCCCCCCTTCTAAAAATCAATGAATTCATGGTTTTGGCAAATAGAAAACTGTGGTAAAAGTCCGATCGAAAGTTCTCACCCGGTTTAATGACGTAGGCCCACGATTGACTGCACACCTGGCTGGAATAAACTCGTTGGACATGTTCGCGGTCAAGAGCCTCCGGCTAAGATGCGGTCAGTAATTTCAATCTAAATTCATTTCTTCCTTTTTTTGCACCAACATTTCTCTTTCGGCACCCTCTTATAATTGAAGAGCGGCTTTATTTGGGGATATCAGCGGTCGTAAAACGCGGGAAAAGCAAATGAAGCATCCTGCATAAAAAAAAACAAAAAGCCCAAACAGGCTTAAGCACCTGCAGAAAACACCGGCAACAATGGCGGGCCACATCAGCGAATCGAGGTTAAAACGAGTTAAGCACTTGAGGGCATGGCCAGGAAAATAAAAACAAAAAATAAGAGGAAAAATCGCGCATTCGCCCCGTTGCCCGCGACGTTAACTGAATGCCAAAGCCAGGCCGCTATTTGTATTTGTGTTTGTATTTTGGCTCTGGACCTGGGCAAAAAGAAAAATGTGCGAGTTTAATGAAACCTGAAGGGGTAAACACAGTTAAGGTTCCTCTGGGGAGTGGTCAAAGTGTAATTACACACACCCACACAGGCACACACACACACACAGCAGCCCACGCACACTCATTGCAAACTGTTGACCGCGCGGGTTAATTGCATCAAAATCTCCACAGTTCGCTGAAAGCATTTCGCTGGCATTTCGCCCCGCTGCAATCTCTTCCGTGTTCTTTTGGCTTTTGATTTGCCAGAGGCATTATGTAGTGTCCGCAGACTGGATCTCTGGACACGCCGGCCAGCGAGCGACGGCATAATAGCGTTAAGTCCAGCATCACGCTGTCATCCTCATCATCTGCAGCCTGCAATCGGCCATCAAAGGGAGGCTTTGCAGCCTAGTTCGCTTGGCAGAATTATGCTTCATAGAGCGAACACTCATACCCCTTCCTAGAAAAGTATTTCTGTAGAACTATGAATAGAAATCATAGCCCAACCGAAATTAGTTCTTGGGAAATTGAGGAAGCCAAATGTTTCCAGGAATAAAAGTTTTGCGAAAATATTAAGTTTGGTATTATAATTTTCCCAGAAAAACAGAACGATAAAATCCCCACCCTCTTACTAAGTGCTGCCCACGATATGATTAATTAAGAGTTCTCCAGAACTCTCGGCCTGTTTGGTCATTAATGGGCCCTGTCTAATTGATTTTATCCACACTGACTGGCCACCTCACTTGCGGCCTGTGAATGCGTGCAAATGTTGCGGGTCTGCGGGCAGTCGGTGCGTATACGCAATGCGTGTTTGAATAATGAAATGACTGGCAGACGAAAAGGTCAGGGGTCTTGGCCTTCAGTGGGCCGAGTAAATGATACCCGATACCTGAAAGGATGCCTGCGAAATCAGAGGATTTATTAAGGCGTCAAATGGCGATGGTTTAATGTGTTGGTCAATTTTCAATTAAAATCAGTCGAGGCGGGAAACTCAACGGAAATCCATGGAGAAGTCAAGAGACCGAGTGCAGAAAGCGGAAGGCGAAAATGAATTAAATTAAAATATGAATTGCACAAGGCGAAGGAAGGCAGATCGAGCGATTAAGCACGCGAATTGCAAGTAAGTCCGCCCTGCAGTCGTCGTCGTCCTTGTCGTTGTCCGTTGTTAATGACATAAAAAGGATAAAGCTGCCTGCCTGCCGTCGTCGACATTCGACTTTCCTCTCGCCTGCCTGCCAATGACACTGATAGGACCCAGTTGGCCCAGTGGAAGGAAAGCCAACAAGCAATTAAGCCGGCAGCTTCTTTAAGGCCATCTCCCGCCTTCGAATTGGTGTGAACTGGCAGCTGTTTCTTGCCTCGTATTCCGTATTCCCCGCCTTGTGCCACAAAAGAAACTTAATTGTTTTTCCCATCATGCTCCGATTGCATTAAGAGCTATTAATTGCTGATGGCTCGGATAACTATGGTAATGCTGATTGCCCGACTGATCAATAATTTATCAGTTTAAACGAGAGCTAAGTAAATTCAAATCTAGCTAACTCATTTGTGGCCTCGATAATGGAAAAGATTCGTTTTCTTTTTGATACTTTTTTTAGACACAATGTATCCAATCTTCCTTATTTTATTAAATTTTTTTATTCGTTTAATTTTGTAAACTGCTTCAGCTTTTCTTTCTATTTGCTTGCAATTTGCTGGCGAAAGTGTGATAATCGCTAATTAAATTTGTTGCAGTGGTCAAATGGCCACATTCTACTTGGCTTGCTTCTCATAGTTGCTGTCAATTGGCTCTTCGGATGTTGGCCCTACCCAAGTCCAATTCCAAGTCCGAGCGAATGTGGCTAACTGACACGGAATTCCCGTTGCATTTGCTGGTCAACAAGCTCTTGGCAGCAGAAGCATTCATTACGCTTCTGTTTTCCTTGGCAGCACTTGGCCGACTTGGCTCAGATTGGTTTAATTCGGTTTTCGGCTTGACTGGCTCCTGCCGCCGGAGCCTGGCATTTATTATCTTGGCCTCAAGGACACCCGAAACAGACAAAGTCTGCAGGCAACACGCCCACAAAAATGCTGCTGTTTGTTTGCCCGACGACACACAAAGTGTCATAAATTAATGCTGTGTGGGTGTGTTTGTTGGCCGTCTTTTGTTCACTGTGCTGATTGTGTTTGCAAAAATTGTCAACATTATTTCATCCTCAGCCACGTTGAAGTATAAAATGAATTAACAAATATTTACAGCAGACGTTGCTTCTAGTTTTCGGAAAGCTATTTATTTTGCTTGTGGTGGAGAAATATAAAATAAAAGATGTGCAAAAGTAAAAATTATTTCACTCCCAGCTGCGTAAAATAATTAAAACAGTTTATAAATATTTGCAGGTGCTAGGATGATAATATTTTCATCTTAAATGGTTTCAGAAGATAACAAGAAACAAACGAAAGGAAATGTTAACCGCAGCGAGCTTTAAATGACTGAAGAGAATGTCGAGGATTCTTATTCTCCATTTCCATTGACAGCGAGTCCTATATCCTGGTGGCCGGATAAACCGAAGGAAAACGCTTCAGACGACCAGCAACTGCGCCCCGATATCCTTGAAACGATTTCATTCCTTTGACTTTGGCCGTGCTCTTGTCTTGGGAAATACCTCAGGGGATACTCGAATAGTCAGCCGATGGAAAAGTCGGTGGTCGCGATAAAGGAGCGGAAAATTCACTGCCGCTCAATCAAGCGCATTGCAATTTGAGTTTCCCACTTTCCCACTTTCGGGGGCGCGGCTCGAAATTAATCCGTTTGACAGCGCCAAGGCTGCATTTAGCATTTATTTCGATATTTATGGCCGGCTCTTTTTTCACTCACTGTGCCGCGTAATTGCGCCAAATCCTTTGCTGACACATAGCGCGTTCATTGTGCTTTCAATTGTTACATCACGAATTTGTTTGTTAAGCCGCGCCCTAAGCTCGCTGCCTCTGCTATCGTTTGCCCGGCCACGCCCCCTTGCCGCCCCACCGCCCCTCGATGGCTGGCAAACAAACAGGAAAAAAGAAACGTTCTGTTTGTCACAACGATATGTAAAATGCGTGGCTTATCCGGATTACCGGATGCTGGAGCGCACAAACATTAGCACAACTCTCTCAATTTATTTATTTTTTCCTGTTAAAGGGGCATACAAAAAAAACATGGCTAAATTTAGCTGTGGTCCTGATGGGATTTGTTACCTAATATCATGAAACTTTAAATATAATCAAATATAAATTGATCATTTAAACTTGTACAAAAAAAGAACATTTCCTAAAAATTATTTAAAAATAAGTAGAAAATATGTAGATAGAAGAATAAATTAATATTTCATTAGATGAATTTACCACTTCAGAAGAATAAGCAACTAATATATATCAACCATAAATAATCCTATTCTTTCTTCCATAGTTTCGGGGTATTTGTTCATTGTGTCGACCCAGAGCAGAAGAAAAGCCCTTAATTCAGGCAATAGACTCCCGGGGAGACAAATATTTATTGCCCTGTTGAACTCTGGAATATTTCTCAGCCCAGGCTCAACTTGGCCATTACTCTTTTTTGCTCCAGTTTGTCAGAGGCACTTTACTTTAGTTGCCAAGGAGTGGCCCTTGAACAATGGAGCTCATTAATTCAATTGTTTGGCAACGGGAATGAAAACGAAATTGCTTTATTTTTTGTCGGTTTTATTGAAGTTTATTACTAAAAATTTAAATCAAAATTTTATTGGAAATACATATACCATATACATACAATTATTATTAGTGTTGTAATTGCAATTGGAATTTTATCGTTTTGTGTTCGATGAGCATGTAAAATAAATGATTGCATTAAATGTGGCCAAAGCAGGCAGATCGCTTGACGTTTTATTTGCAAAATGCCGTTGAAATTTGTGTGTATATAATATAATTAAATGAAAATCGGATTTACTCATTTCGTTAAGTGGGGAGACTTTAATCATATGCAAATTATTCAAATGTGAGCTTTTAACACGAGTACACAAGCTGCTTTGGTTTTGAGGAACTAACATTTAACATTTGTATATCTTCGTTTTTCGTTTTTTTTTTGTTTTTGTTGCTTATTTCACACGATTTGTTTGCTTTAATATAGTGAAAGCCCTTAGACCTAGACTCTATGTTTTCGTAGGTATATATCGTATGAGTTTTTCATCATATATGTTTATAAGTATTAATCGTTCAAAATATTTTTATTGTAAATAATTAAAAATGGAATCGCGTAAGTGCTCTATAAGAAAATCGTTAAGAACTTTCATGGTAATTCACTTGGGTTCACTAAACTCTCAATAATTCTAGATAATTCTATTAATTAGTTGTTTACCTACGTTATGCCGATTGGTTTTATATCTGAGCTAGAGCTTGCTACTAGTATTTTATTCGTGAGTATCAATTGATTTTATCCTTGCGTTGTTTTAGCTTTAATATTTAATTTAGAATCTCATGAACAGTGTGGAGTGAAAACTTCTTCGATTTTCCTTAGTGTTCTCCTCTATTATCATAATTCGTACGATCTTAAGCTTACATTCACATGTGTATTTAACAAACATTTGGGTTTTTCCTTCAAACATAAAACATTATCTGCTTATTAGCTTAAGGAACAACACATTATGAATAGACTTCCAGAAAATATTACTGTGCCAAAGTGCAAAATCACAGACCCCAAAATAAACTCACTGTGACTTTGACATTTGCGTAATATTTGTGGGCAAATTATAAAACAATACACAATATCTCAGCTAATCTTGAAGACAATTGTTAAGTGTCACAGGATTCGGGACTCTAAATATTTAACTTCTACTTTCTTTGTTTAACCTTAGGTGTACTTTAATTAGTATGTTCATGAAATGCATTTAACACGAATTCGGCCGATATCATTAATTTCCTCAACTTCTCATTATGATTGCGATTTCTTATGTACTTTTGACAGCTGGCATAATCTTACATATACTATCTTTTTTTTTTAATTTTAATAATGCGTTTTCCGTTTCTTTTTTTCAATATTTTTTAACACGATTTAAGTAGTAATTTGGCATTGCAATTGTTATTTGTTATTTGTTGTGAGTATGACTTAGTTAAGCTTTCGGATGTTCGTACATCCTTTTTGTTATTATTTACCAACACCGGTTGTGTTTTTTGGGAAGACAGTCAGAAACACAAAGCCTCAAAGTATTAACAGCAAAAATGTTGGCAAAATATATATTTGTATACTCTCACACGTGTATAATCCGAAATCGCATGAGCTTTCAAAATACAAAATCAGATTCGAATGGTTAATTTTCGTGCAACTTTGCGGTGTCGCTTCTTAGTTTGATTAGGTCCCGTTCACAGAATTTTGTTTGTATCATAAATATTTTTTGTTTTCGAACTTAAAATAAATGCTAACGTTTGAAGATTTATACATTTCTCTTGCTGCAAAACAATAAAACAGAACAGATAGAGAACCAAGATTGGAGTACTGAACTCATCTCGAGAACCACTTAACGCCGCGTATTCCAAAAGTCGACTACTTTGGGCCAGGCCATCGAGAGGATTGGCAGGGTCAACAGGATGACGGAGTAGGCCAACTGGGTGCCGGAATTGCACCCGTCCTCGGTGCAGCAATACGTTTGTGTCTCCCAAATTTCTAGTGAAATAATTGGAATGACATTTCATAATTAGCTGAGGTCAAGCGAATCAGTGCAGCTGTCAAATATTATTTTATTTGCGGCTTTTAACAATGGGCATTTATTTGCCCAATATCCCGGCCAATTACACAGTTCAATTAGCGTATGGTCGTAACTAAACCTCTCACTTACCTTTTTCCTGACACTCGGTAGCACAATCGCGAACGGTCGACAGCTCACTAACATATTTCTGCAAACGAAAAAGAAGAGTAGGAAATAAAATGTTACATTTTGTAATTGTGGCATTTCGATTCATTTTCATGACAGCTTAATTAAATATCTCGCGAGCTTAAATGCATGCGTACTGTCAATATAATAAAAATTTGCTGGTCAACGGGGCGTATGAATGTCATTAAGTTGCATGTGCGAATGCTTGTTTATGGCTTTCGCAACCAATATCAATAAGCAGTCGATTATTTTGTACATATTTATGGAAGAATTAATGTGCGAATATTTAAATATAAAATATGCAAATATTTCGTATTTATTTTCAATTTAATAACCGTTAAAGTTATAAATTGCAAATTTTACTAAAGGTCAGTAAATTATCTGTTTAAATAAAGAACGCTGTTGGCTTTAATGCAGGATTACTTGGATCAAAGTGCCCAGTTATCTGGAATTAATGCTTAACAACATAGTTTATTTCATTAAACCCTTACCATTGAATCAATTAACTTTGCGCTTATATAATTAATTGACCATTTAACAAAAACTCGATTTGGCAAAATAAATGGCATTTCGATGTAATTTTCACGTTTATTAATTTAAGTGGCATCAAAACCACTTCGCTTGAATTTAAAACTAAAATGCCAGGGCAAACCACAAACAAAGATGTCAACATTTATAGGCATAAACATAAACATTTTTACGACGTACTTCTGTTTTTTGAAAAGAGGATTAAAAGGAACAGGGGACCTTTGTTTTGGTGGCAAATAATGGTCGCCCATAAAGTTTGGTATTATCTTCAATATGGAGGTCCATCATGATAAGTAGGTCATAAGTAGGTTATCTGAAAAGTAGCGCTGACCTAAGCGAATTTCAATCAAACCCTGAAATAGCTCTCCACTTTGATGTCTAGGTAATTCCGTAAGAATGTTCCAGAGGAATTATTTATTTCACTCACACATTCGGGAAAGGGAGTTTTGTGGTCTAACCACTCCTGATGCTCTTTTAACGACGGCTTCGTGAGTTCAGCAGAAGGGACATTCATGGGTGAGCCTGGCTACGAATAAATAAACATAAAACACGTCGTACAACGACTTTGTAATGTACTTGCAGGCCAAGTAACTGCACAAGCACAAGGTTTTTAGCATACTATATATGCTACATATGGCTGGCATTAAAGTTTACGACAACACAGGCAGGCGACACTAAACACACAGATGATAAAGATAGTCCTCTAAGAACATAAACCCCTCCTTTAAACACCCTCGAGAAAATTGAAAAATGTGGTGCTCATAAGAAGGCGACGCCGGCGCTTTGCGGTCCATTAGGCAAATAATAAACATGTTCAATAATTACCCTGGGGAGTGTGTGTGAGTGCCGTACTTTGCCCGCAGCCCTGCAACAATGCACCTGCCACCTACAACAACCGACCGACTGGCAATTTTGCAGCATGCAACCAACATTGCGCCCGGGGTTAGGCAATACAAAACACGTGTTCACACCAGGAGGCCGCAAGGAAACATAAGCAGGGGGGAGCAGGAACTGCAGGATCTGCAGGAGGAATCAGGAGAGGCGAAAGGCAGTCAGCCGAGGCAGCTTATGGGGCACTTAAACCGCTTAATCGATTGAGCCGAGTGCTGCTGCTGCGGCGGTCTCGAGCCCGATGTGCAACAATCCGAGTCGTGAACCCCGGCTAAGCCATTCCGCAGCACTTAACGACTTTGCGTGCTTATCGCCCGTTCCTGGCCAGGACTACAAGGACTGGTGGGATCTGCTGGACTGCCAGGACATCTGCAGCTGGCACTGCACATTGGCAGCTCATTGTTTATGTAACAGGTCCTGCGATAGTGACCGCTGTAATGGACCTCCACCTCCATCTCCATCTCCAGCCCACTGCACTTTGCCACAGGCGGGTTAACAAATGGTGTAAAATAAGAGAATCAATTTGGAGAGCACACTTTTTTCTACCTCTGTTTATAGACACTTTGCTGCAGTAACTGCATTAATTAAATCTTTGAAAACCAATTTAAAAGAGGGTTTGAAATGAAGGTACTAAAGTTGTCAAACTGTAAGTTTGTACGAACTGCCTACAAAACTGTAGGAAAACTTACAAATATTATTTTTAGAAACTTTAACTTAAATCTTTTAGCACATTTAAGTTTCCTAGAACCAAAATTAATATTTTAATATGTTTTTTAAATATAAATGTTGTTAAATATTTTGTCCCAGATATTTCTTCCTGTGCACTCCATTTATTAGCCCCTCTCCGCAAATGTTGTTCTATTAAAATGAGACGACATCTAGCACATTGTTGCCATCTAAACATGCACACCCTGCGTTTTCTTTGCCATTTACCATTTGCCATTTGCCATTGTCCCTGCATAATTTGTGCCGCTCAAGTGCTCCGGGCTAAGTAACCCCACAAAACCCGAGGGGATGCGAAAGGGCTAAGCTCATTAGGTTATGCGATGCCACAGAATGCGTCGGGGGGGCTAAGTAACGTGGCTAATATAGATAATGTGGGGATAATCGCTGGGGACAAGCACAAGCCCCTCATAGAATAAACTATGATGGATGGGAATTCGACTGTGGAATAAAATAGCCATCATTTCTTATGCAATCAGGCCGATCAACCAGCGAAATTTCAGCAAACTTAATTTCCTTTCCGGCTTTTCCCCCACCGTGAGTCACTTGCAGAGATTTATGCATCTGGCCTAGTTTAGAAATGAAATGCGAAAACGAAAAAAAATGGACCAACGGTGGGGGCGGAGGTTGCGGAGGGGGCGTGGCTTTGGTCTGTCGAGCACGTCAGGCCAAATGCAGCTCGGCATGTTATTTGGTTGTTAGGAGCAAAGTTGGACGAAAGGAAAACACGAAAAACGTTGAGCAGAGCAATAATCTTGAGACAGCCGGCGAAAGTTCCTCCACTGGCTGTGTGCTACTTTCACTTAAGCCAGTTATATCATCCTTCTGCTTAGTTGTGATTTGAACAACCGCCCAGAAACCCAAGCCAGAGCCCAAGCCCTTTTCTCAGCCCAAAAACCAGCCAACTCAGGCAGACAGCGACTGATGACGACGTTGATGATTTCAATTTTGCATGCGAGTGACAGCAGAATGAAGAAAAAGAGCCCTAAAAAACTAAAAGACGCAAGTTGCACAAAAAAGACAGAAAAAGTGGTAATGACAGGAAAGTACTGCCATTGCAAAAATGGAGAAAAAAAAAATGAAAAGCGAGATTGGGGAATGAGTTAAAGGAATGAAAGCATATGATACCCTTTTATTTAGTTATGGAAAAAATTTGAATTTATGAAAATTGTATACACCAAATATGGTTAAAATTTAAAGTAGCTAAAATGATTCCATAAATTGAGGTACATTTATTGGTTCCTATTATTTATGATCAATTCCACAGTAAAGAACTATAAATTTTATGTTCATGTTCAAACAAAATAAAGAATAATATGTAAAACCAGATAGTACCTCTTCGTTGATCATGTATTTTTTTACAAGTCACAAATGACCCCTTCAATGAATTGTAGCATATGCTCTCAAGCAATAAAAATACCCACTTGAAGGGTATAAAAATGAAGACAGACGGCGAAGGAGGCAAGGAATCGAGCTAGGACGTCATGAGTGGCAATGGAAACTTTGAACTCGTTGTACGTGTATGTGTGTGTGTGTAAGTACAGACAGGTTGCAGGCATCGTCCTTTAGCCATTTATGAAAATTTCAAGTGCCAAAGGGCGGAGGGAAAGAGGACTGCCTCTTAATCTTGAGTGGGAAGATGATGATTTGCCTCAAATCATGTGTGCTCCTTGCATGTGCACATGTCCTTAATGGCGGCTATACTGAGGCATACGAACCGTATCCTTATGCAGCCACTGGAATGATGCACATTTTTTCACAATTTCAATAAAAATAACTCAATTTGTTGGCTTTCTGGATAATAACATAATAATAATGGCGCGCCGGGAAATCACTTAATGCATTTCTGATATGCAAACGAGCTTTAAGACTTATCCTTGAGCAAATCCCCGCTGACCTCGTTAACATTTATTTAGTAAGCGCCATAAATCCTTTCAGCATTCCGTCATTAAAATCATCAACAATTCCAGTCACGAACTCGATTGCGCAATCCGTTCGAGCATTTTTGCGACATTAATTACTGGGTCGTGACTTATCAAACGGCAGGCGGCATTTGCATTCAAATAACTCGAAACGGATATGACTTTAAGTCGCAAACAAATGAATTATTCACGAACTCTTTAATTCAATTGCGAAATGAAATTTCAGGGGTACAATTGAAGAAAGAAAGTGAGAAGTTCAGTCATGTGGACGGCAAAAGAAAAGCAATGAGGCAGTCAGCGCCAAGTGATCAGGGAAAAGTGCAATGTAGGATAGTTTTCTTTGGAAAGCGAAATCGAAAACGAAATCGAAAAAGAGCCCCGGAGCAACTTTCGGGTCTCATATGCATTTGCCAAACATTGCCTTCAATTATTAAGGCTCAGGTGTCGTGACAGCCCCCTCTTCCTCCTCGAAAAAAAAAAAAAAGGAAAAGAACCCCGAAGCTCTCGCTTTTGCTTTCGCTTTCGCTTCAGTTGCCACATTGAATGAGCACAGAAAGTTACTCCATGGTATATATGGGTGTATGGGTATATGGGTGTGTGTGGGTGTATGGGTGTATGTATGGGGTGCTGCCTCACTGCCTCTGCTCCATTATCAAAATGCAATTTCATCAATGCTGGCTTTGAGACCTCAAAAAATCCGGCCAGCAACAAAAATGTTAAAATGTTGGAAATTTGATTTTCCCTCCAAGAGCTGAACTATGGTATCCAGAGGCATCAGCTTTCAGCAGCAGCAGCAGCCGCATCACTTGGAATCCCACGACCCCGGTGGCACCCCTGAATCCCCAATGTCCCCCATATATCCTATACCTACTCCGATCCGGAGCCCAATCCCTGCCAGCAGCCAAGACTCACAAAGCGAGCAGCCGGCAAACACTTTTTGACAGTGCACTCTGTTGCA